TTCAGGGTTTAGGGTTTCGGATTTCGGGCTTAGTGTTTAGGGATGAGGCTTAGGAACTCAAGGCCCGGAGCTTGTGACCCAGGAGACCGAAATCCTCAAATGGGATCTGTGTTTGAAGGGTGCTGGCGGTGTGAGCCGACGTAAACCTTGCAAGGACTTGCTGCGAGATACCATAATGTATACGATTCTTTATTCTACTATAATATAATGTAATATAGTATGATCTAATGTAATATAGTTTAGTATAATATAACATAAAATGAGATAACATAATATACTGTTTCTTCAGGGGCAGCAGGCGGCAGGAGGCATGCCTGGCTCCGAGCGACGTTGCGGCAAGATCGCAAAGCATCCGGCGATTCGCTGCAGCCTGCCACAAAGGATCCGCTTTCAAGGCGTAAGTGCCATATACCAGAATATATAATATACTGCTATATACTAGTATATACTATTATATACGATCATATACGGTTATATACTATATAGGATTTGAAGCATACGATTATATACTATATAGGATATGAAGCACACAGGGGCTTCAGTTCTTCAGCTGAACCTGACCTACTGCCTAACACCTATTCTGCCGCTAAACCCTAAACCCTAAACCCTAAACCCTAAACTAGAACACTCGGAGAGCCATCGACCATCAGCGGAAGGAACCTTATCCGGCAGAAGTGCTTGTCCAAGGAATTGAACATCGATTCCAGATGCAGTCCGAACAAACTCTGTGCAGTAACAAGAATAGAATAGAATAGAATAGAATAGAATAGAATAGAATAGAATCGAATCGAATTAGAATAGAATAGAATAGAATAGAATTAGAATAGAATAGAATAGAACAGAACAGAATAGAATAGAATAGAATAGAACGCACATGGTTTGAGACCTAGTGACCTAGTGTGTTTTTAAAGCCACCCCCTCCCAAGATCTGCTAAATGCTAAAGGACTTTGGGATTCGGGGTCATGGTATGAGCCGCGTCATATAGTTGACTAGCCATGCGAATACGCGACACCGGGCGCTTCAGCCCGAAACTCAGAAACCCTGGATGTTTAGACCACGAAACCCTGTACTACCCTACTGTAGGGGCCTTAGTAAATAGAGGGTTTTGGGTTCCTTTATAGTATAATTATACTAAAGAGCCCCCACAATAGGATAGGTAATATTAAACCCTGAACCCCTAAACACCTAAACCCCTAAACCCTAAACCCCCAAATCCCGGAAATTATTAAGGCCCTGTTTCCTACATCTTAGCCTCCTACCTCTTTAGGGCAGATGTGGGGTTCAGGGGTTGGGGTTTGGGGCCCAGGGCTGAAGGCTTTTACCCTAAACCCTAAACCCTTACAGTTTAGGGTTTAGGGTTTAGGGTTTAGGGTTTAGGGTTTAGGGTTTAGGGTTTAGGGTTTAGGGTTTAGGGTTTAGGGTTTGGTGAGGGTTTAAGGTTTAGGGCCAGTTTGGTGCTTCTTAAAGCCTAAACCCTGGGATTCTCCAACCCTAAACCCCTAAACCCTAAACCCTACTTCATCCCAGGGTTTAGGCTTTAAAGCTGGCCCTAAACTGGCCCTGAACCCTAAACCCCTAACCCCTAGACCCTAAACCCTAAACCCGAAACCCTAAACCCTAAACCCTAAACCCTAATTCTCGCACCTTCTTCGAAGCCAGGAGGTGGAAAGAGGAGCCGATCGTCGAGGGAGACAAGGAGCCTCGGTGCCGAGGGAGATGCCGAGTTTGAGTGTTTAGGGTTTAGGGTTTAGGATTTAGGGTCTAGGGTTTAGGGTTTAGGGCTCAGGTTTAGGGTTTAAGGTTTAGGGTTTCGGGTTTAGGGTTCAGGTTTTAGCGTGCAGGTTTTTTAATAAAGAAGCTTCAATCATCGGCAATACTATTCCTTCGCACCTCTTGTTATACTTACAGCAAAACCCTATTCTAATTATTGTAACTATTGAGGCAACTTGTGTTATATGCCAGTACCGGAGGCCTTAACTAAAACCCTAAACAATAAACCCTGGACCCTAGACCCTAAACCCCAAACTCTACACCTTAAACTCGAACCCTAAACCCTAAACTCTAAACCCCCAAACTACAATTCGAATGGAGTTTTGGGTCTCGGGCTTGGGCTTTCTTTCGGCGCCTTGGCGAATCAGAATGAAGCTCTCGGGGTGTTCAAACAACTTCGGTTTGGGGCTTAGGGTCTAACTACTAAGGGTTTAGGGCTTCTTGGGGTATAGGCTTCAGCGCTTAGGGTTTATGGTTTAATTAGGGTTTAAGGTTTTGGGGAGGACATGCCCCCGCCGCCAATAAGAAGTACAGTAGGGATGGTGATATTGCGGCCCTTCAGCGAGAAGGGTTTATAGATGACAGGTATCCACTAGCCGGATCTGATTTTAGGCTATGAGTGTTTGGTGGCTCAGGCTTCAAAGGCCGCTTGAAGCAGCATGCAGACAAACGACGGAAAACAAGCTGAGGCAGCCTGAACCCTGCAAGTGACATCCGAGGCACAGAGCCAGCGATGCCGTGCCAGCCTGCAACTCCTGCGAACGGGACTCTTGCTGGAATTCGGGTCTCGGATGATGAAACGTTGCAATAAGAGTTCCTGCAGATTAGGGGTTTAGGGTTTTTGGTTTTGGGGCCTGAATAAGTAGAATAGGGGTTTGGGGCCCATTATGCTACAGTCATAATAAGGAACCCCCAAGATAATACAGGCAATTATTCAGGCTCCTTTATGTCGGTTTAACTTCAACTTCCAAAACCAAAACCTCAGGCGGAGACCCCGGTGCAACCACCCTGGAGAATTAGATTCATGGCTTTCTTCTTTAGATTAAAAGCTTTCTCCTTTAGGTTAGTGGTTTTCATTTTTAGAATAAAAGGCTCTCTTATTTAGGTGAATGGCTTTCTTATTTGGATAAAAGCTTTCTCATTTAGGTTAATAGCTTTCTTATTTAGAACAAAAGGCTCTCTCATTTAGGTTCATGGCTTTCTTGTTTAGATAAAAGGCTTTCTCATTTTGGTTCATGGCTTTCTTGTTTAGATAAAAAGGCTCTCTTAATCAGGTTAATGGTTTTCTTGTTTAGATATGGGTGGTTGTCAAAATTATGGTCCCTTTTTGGGTCCTTATTATAATAAGGCACCTATTATTTAGGGTACCTCAAAAGGGACCATAATTTTGGCAACTACCCATATATGGCTCCCATGTAGGATGATTCGCCCTCGCAGGGCTTGAGGCCCGAGATGCGGGGCCAGACACGGAAACGGAGCATCTCAGAGATGTACTTTAGGGGTTTAGGGTTTAGGGAACCTCTTAACGAAGACTCCACCAACCACCCCAAACCCCAAACCTTAAACTCCAAAACTCCATGGAAAATCGAAACCCAAGCTTCGTCTCTAACACTTCCGTGGACAGCTCCGAACAAAAAGGCTTCCGAAGACCTACTCTCTGCGCTTAGGGGTTTCGGGCTTGTAGGGTTTAGGGTTTAGGGTTTAGGGTTTAGGGGTTTAGGGTTTAGGGTTTAGGGTTTAGAGGTTTAGGGCCCGAGCCGCCTGCGGAATTGCTACCTTCGCGGAGCGCTGCCACACCCGGTCGGGACCCCAGTCCTGAAGAGGCAGCTCTCCCAAAACCCCATGGGTTGGGGTTTAGGGTTTAGGGTCTAGGGTTTAGGGTTTAGGATTTCGGGTTTAGGGTTTACGGTTTGGGCTTTGGGGCTTTGGGTTTAAAGGTTTGGGGTTTAAGGCTTAAGGTTTCCTGAAACCCGGAAAAGACATGACTGCACGCGCTCCTGAGACCCTGCTTTTCACAACCAGCGATAGGTAAGAGCTGGGTCGAAAAGTCGCG